CCTTTCAGGCATTTTCTGTCATGTGTATTTACTTTGTGTCCCCTCTTAGTCTTTATCACTGAAATTTCTTTCTTTCTTTTCTAACTCTGATGGTTGTCACCTTCTTTCGGAGTTTTCTAATTCTAATTCTTTCCTGTCTTGTACCATATTGTTAGGGTCTTTTAGCTTATCTTGAAATAGTACGTTACAGGTTTCATCTGTTTTGTGGTCATGTCTTTCTGTCATGCTTTCATTTGTAGCATTCAATTCTGCTCCCTTTTTACCTGTGTTCACTTCATATGGGATTTGACCACATACTTTTCTGTTGCTTATTTTTTTTAAGATTTTATTTATTTATTTGACAGAGAGAGATCACAAGTAGGCAGAGAGGCAGGCAGAGAGAGGGGGGGAAGCAGGCTCCCCATTGAGCAGAGAGCCTGATGTGGGCCTTGATCCCAGGACCCTGAGATCATGACCTGAGCCGAAGGCAGAGGCTTAACCCAGTGAACCATCCAGGCGCCCTGTTGCTTATTTTTATGGAAGATTAGTTTACTTGAACTTTGAGATTGGGGCAAGCTTCAGGAAAGCGTCTCTGACTTCATGGAACTGTGTCTTGTGGTGTTTTATTAGTGTTAAAAACTGCGGTGGCTTGTTTCTGAGATTTCCTGACTCTGTTTCCTCCTACAGTTTGGTTTGGGCCATTGCTTTGACTTTATTTTCCTTATCCTGCTCGGTTTTGATTCCATTCTTTGCAGTTTCTCTTTATTGGGGTCCTCTGTCCAGGAAAGCGACCTTGGCAGGTCAGATCTGAGAGTTCATAGATCGGACTGTACCAACCCTTTCAAGACTTTCTTACCGTATGACTGTATGGCATGCTGACTTGTGGAACGGGCAGACTTCTCTCAGATTCATCTGCTGTTCCCAGATTGGCTTGCAGTGCTCCCCACTGAATATCTGCTGGCTCTTTTTGGTGTTCTTTCAGATGTAGCCTTGTTATTTCCATACTCTGCTTTCTCCTCCTTATATACTTCTGTGGCTCCCATATAGGTTTTGTGGCTGTTGGTGGTTTGCCCTTATTCATTTGTATTTTGTAGCTTTTTGTTGTAAACAGAAATGTAAATTAGATTTTTTAGTTTCTCTAATTACCTTAGATAGTTTTTACAATGTCCCTCATTTAAATTAATAAATTGTAGAATAATGACTTTATGAAAGACACATGCAGGCAGGGCTGATGTGAGAACTCATTTTTGTACCTTTCTTGTCCCTCAACTTCTTTTTCTTCTTAACCCCACAAGAGTGTTTTCCAAATTTCTTATCCATATTAATTTTTTTTGAAGTTTATTTATTTTTTAGTAATCGCTATACCCAATGTGGGGCTCAGACTCATGACCCTGAGATGGAGAATCGCATCCTCTTCAGCCTGAGTCAGCCAGATGCCCCCCCCCCCCACCCCGTATTCGTTTTCTTTTGGTGTAGGACAAATTACCACAAACTTAATGGCTTGAAACAGCACCTAGGTCAGGAATCTGGGCACAGCTTAGGTGGATCCTCTGTTCAGAGTTTCACTGGGCTGCAGTCAGGGTGCTGGCTGGGCTGTGTTCTCATCTGGAGGTTTGACTGGAAAGAATCCACTTCGCAGCCTATTTCGATTGTTGGCAGGATTTGTGTCCTGTTGGCATCTGTATGACTGAGGCATCTAGCTTTTTGCTGGCTGCGGGGTGGAGGCTGCCTGCTGTTTCAGTTTTGTAGGCCTCTCTGTAGGTGGTTCCCAGCATGGCATTTTGCTTCTTCATGCCCCACGGGAGATTGTCATTTTGGTCTTTTAAGACAGAGTCTTACATAACATAATGTAATCATGGGAGTGACATATCACCATCCCTTTGCCATATTCTCTTGGTCAGAAGCAAGTCACAGGTTCTGCCCACAGCAAAGGGGGGGCTATTATACGAGAGAAAAATACCAGTGGGGGCCAAGATTGTGGGGACCATCTGTCTACCACATTATCTGTGTCAATGATCTGGAAATTGATGAAACTTGCTCCTGAGCCATAGAAGACACTTTTCTCTCTAGAAGACTACTCCCATTTGAAGATGTTAGCTACCAAAATGATGGGCTAAAAAAAAGATTCTCTTCAGTTTAGCTTTATTGAAACAACTTTATTAAAATTTGGTTAACTACCTCTTCCCACAGTTTTCTGCCCCAAATAAAGCCAAAACAAAACACAGCAGACATTATTAAAGTCCTATCTATGTAAATTCTTTTCTTGTGGGTGAGAGATTCTGTTTGTGCCTATTGTGACACATATGCATACCCGTGTGTGTTTGATCTTTTGCATAAAAGTAGAAACATTTTACAAACATGCTTTTGAGCCCGGGACTCCATTCTAAGTTTTAATTCTTTAACTTCCATTCTGAAGACAGTTTTTCTGGAGTCTGATCTTTGGGAGTATGGTGGTAAAGTGAAAAGACTCTGGGACTCAGTATCAGAAGAGCTTGAGTCTTTAGTATCCTCCATTTAGTAGCAGACTAGCCATAAGCAAGTCATTTAGCCTCTTTGAATCAGATGAGCTTCCTTAATTGCAGTGAGGACAATAAACCTCAGGTAGGACAGTTTTTACATTGCAGTGTTGTAAGGATCAGGGTTCACTGTATTAGGTGCTCAATAAATCGACAGTGGTATGTTTGTCTACCACTGTTTCCAAACTTAGTCTTTCAGGTCCCTAGAGAAATAGGATTTTTCCCTCTATCTTGGTAAAAACTCCATCTTCTTTGTTCTGGGGCAAAGTATTCTAGTATCAGCTAACTCACTGTTTCAAAGATCTGTTGGTGGGTGTCTGTAGAAATCATTACTCAGTTCGTAGCACCTTGGTTTTGTCTCCATCTTGGTTGGCTTTTCTTTCAGTGACATCTTTGAGGGTTTATTAGGAGCAGGGAGAGAGAGTTAGCTTTTTTTTTTTCTTCTAGATATCCCTGTACACTGATAATTCTACTAAATAATTCTTTTGATACATCTTTCACCTAGACCAAATCACCTTAACTATTACTTACTCCCTTCCTTTATCAGGGACTATAATATTTTCCCAGAGGTTTTGTATTCGTGTTAGAAACTTACAATGACTGAGCATTGTATAATGCTGTATATATTAAATGTCAAATATATGAGATTGATGTAATTATCCCCTTTTTATGGTTGAGGAAACCAGTGCAGAGAGTGTAAATGACTTGCTCATGACCACACACTTGGAAGATACTTAAAGGCATCCTAACTCAGATCCCTCTGAATCCAAAGCTTATGGTCTTTCTTAGGCTATTGGAGTTCTGCTAGGAATACCAAGAGATGCTTGTGAGATCTTGATATTTGTGTCTGTCTGAACTTAATCCTTGTTATCTGTTTAAAATATTCACTCAGAGATTCCTTCATACCATATATATATATATATATATACATACACACACATATGTATGTGTGTGTGTGTGTGCGTATAAAAGCAACTTACTTTAAATGGTTAGCTTTGTATAATTTGGAGTACCTCCCATAGAAGAAAGTTCTAGACAGGCCAGTGTAAGTGACAACTATTCTCCTCTTTCCATATTCCTTATTTCCTTATTCCTCCTTGATCTTTAACATAAGGACTTTGAAAATTACCATGAGATCATTTGTGGGAAGTACTTTGGTCTCATTGATTGTAGCATTGCATTAAAAATATATCATTTATGAAAATGGCTTTAGGGACTTAAAAATGTCCCTGGATTTCATTTTCTTTCAAACTGCATTCTATTCTCTAGAAATAGGCTCTACATTCCTTTTCTAGTTCAAGATTAATTTGTCACTATTTTATTAAGATCATTTTTTCTTGGGGCATGGGTGGCTCAGTTGGCTAAGCATCTGCCTTCAGGCTCGGGTCATGATCCTGGGGTCCTGGGATTGGGGCTCATGTGGGGCTCCCTGCTCAGTGGCGAGTCTGCCTCTCCCTCTGCCTCTGCCCATCTCCCACCTTGTGCTCTCTTTCTGTTGAGTAAATAAATAAATAAACAAAATCTTGAAAAAAAGAAAAAATTTTCTCTTCATTTGAGAAATTAAAATAATCTAATAGAATTTTTTTGTATAATAAGGAATATCTTTTTAACATTTTGTCATTTTTGCTTCTAATCTTTTTTTTATTTTATTTTTATTTATTTATTTATTTTAAAGATTTTATTTATTTATTTGACAGGCAGAGATCACAAGTAGGCAGAGAGGCAGGCAGAGAGAGAGAGGGAAGTAGGCTCCCTGCTGAGCAGAGAACCCGATGTGGGGCTTGATCCCAGGACTCTGAGATCATGACCTGAGCCTAAGGCAGAGGCTTTAACCCACTGAGCCACCCAGGTGCCCCTTAATCTTTTTTTTTTTTAAAGAAATCAGGGGTGCCTGGGTGTCTCAGCTAAGCAGCTGACTTTGGCCCAGTAGTGATTCCAGGGCCTGGGATCACACCCTATATCAGGCTCCTTGCTCAGTGGGCATCTGCTTCTCCCTCTCCCTCTGCTTGTTACTCTCCCTGCTTGTGCTCTCTCTCTCTGTGTCAAATAAATAAAATCTTAAAAAAAAAATAAACATAATAGTTTTTAAATGTTTTCATGTTTGTTATAAAATAATTTTAAAAATACAAGTAAGGTGGGTCTGGGTGTCTCAGTTGGTTTAGTGTCTGCCTTCCCCTCAGGTCCTGGGATCAGCCTGGTGTCGGGCTCTCTGCTCAGTGGTGTGTCTGCTTCTCCCTCTCCTCCTTGCTTATGCTCTATCTCAAATAAATAAATAAAATTGAAAAAAAAATACAAGTAAGATGAATGAAAAGACAAAAATCACTCATAGTCTCAGGACTCTTATTATAACTCATACAACTCACTGTTACATTGTTTACTATTTTAACAGACTTCAGCCCATCTAACCTGTAAGCCACAGACATCTGGGACAGGTATAATCCTCAATAACGAAGTACACGACTCAGAAATAGTGGGCTGTTTTCAGAGAGTTGGAAGAGACTTACCATGAGTTTAAACGCTTCAAGTAATGCCCCTGGTGACGCCCAAAGGTAAGCCACCCGTCCTTTCCTGTAGTCGGGGAGTGCTTTTGGGTTGCGGGTAGCCGGGAGAAGTCAGTGGTTGGGGGTGCTGATTGTAAGGATTCTCGTCGTGTGCTAAGGGAGGCCAAAGCTTCAGGTGCCTGGAGGAGCAGGCAGGATGCATCCAGCAACAGGAACGGGATGTAGGGAGTGTATGCTGTGGTCTGTGCTCCTTTGTTAACTCATCCCTGAAAGTCAGTGTATGTACTTTCTCCTGCCCTTAGAGAACCGCTTATTCTTCTCTCCTTTTCCAGTCTTTTCTCCTTCTCATTGTTTTGCTTATTCCCAGTTGTGTGTGGTCATTACTCTGGCCTGCCCTGATCTCTGTAACTCCAGTTGTTCTAACTTCGCGCCCCAGCGGTAGTTCATGGCTACTCTCAAGGCCTTCTTTGGGTTTTAGCTCCTGTTCCACTGCTCTTGAACTTGGAGTTTATGTTCCAAGAATTGCCGCTGTTCCTCTTTTTTGTACCCTTGATATCTGCCTTTGGGTGAGGTGCCTGCTTTGGGTTGATTCACCTCTGATGTGAAAAATAGAAAACTCTGAGTCTAGAATATAAAACTGAGCCAATTCAGAGAGTGCAGTCCAAAGTGTTTTGGTTTACAAAGAACTAAAAAAGAAATTGAAAGTGTTTAGAAACTTTTATAATCATGTAGCAGAGTAATTTTCTGTTTGTTAAATCTAGTAATAAAACACTTGGGGTTGCATTTGATCTCTTTTTAAAATTTCTTTTCTAAACAATTTCTTGTTCACTGTGGAAAACAGCATGGAGTTTCCTCAAAAAGTTGAAAATAGAGCTACTCTACAACCCAGTAATTGCATTACTGGTTATTTACCCCAAAGATACTAATGTAGTGATCCAGAGGGGCACTTGCACCCCAATGTTTATAACAGCAGTGTCCACAATAGCCAGACTATGGAAAGAGCCCAGATGTCCCTCCACAGATGAACGGATAAAGAAGATGTGGTGTATACACACAATGGAATACCATGCAGCCATCAAAAAGCCTGAAATCTTGCCATTTGCAATGGGGTGGATGGAACTAGAGGGGATTATGCTAAGTGAAATAAGTCAATCAGAGAAAGACAATTATCATATGATCTCACTATGAGGAATTTGGGAAACAAGACAGAGGATCATAGGGGAAGGGAGAGAACAATGAAACAAGATGAAACCAGAGAGGGAGACAAACCATAAGGGACTCTTTATCTCAGGAAACAAACTGAGGGTTGCCAGAGGGGAGGGGTGGAAGGGATGAGGTGGCTGCGGGGTGGGCATTGGGTATGTGCTGTGATGTGATGAGTGCTGTGAATTGTGTAAGACTGATGAATCACAGAAACCCTGAAACAAATAATAAATTGTATGTTAATAAAAAAATTTCTTGTTTAGTCATTTTAAAGATAGTTATTTTAGTTATTTTAAATATATTTTACAAAAGCACCATTTGTTGGGGGGAAGAGTCCTTGCTCCTACTTAGTTTGAGAAGAACTGATCTAGACTGCCTTTTCAGCAAGGATGTGTGGGTGGGGCAAGGACCATGACTAACATGTACTTCACCTATAAATAGGATTTGCCACAGAAACATTTTCCACCTATCTTTAGAAGCTACCTTCAATCTTTTGTGGAGCAAGGTATGAAATACGTGAATAAAACATAAACTTTTGACTTCAGTAAAAACGTTTTCACTTTTGGAGGGAACATCTTGCCATACAAGTATCTCTCATTTTTTTTTTAAGATTTTATATATTTATCTGTCAGGGGGAGCGAGAGCACACACAAGCAGGGGGGAGCAGCAAGCAGAGGGAGAAGCAAGCTCCCTGCTGAGCAAGGAACCTGATGCAGGACTCGATCCCAGGACCCCAGGATCATGTCTGTCCTGATTTTTAATGACTACATTGCTCTTCAGAATTTTAGAATCTGGCTAAATGAAGTTAAACTTTGCTATTTACCACTAATTTACTTTCTGTAGATTTGCCTTTTCTGAACAACTCATACACATGGAATCATACCGTATGTGGTCTTTTGTGTCTGGCTTCTTTCACTAGGCATGTTCTGCAGGCTTATCATGTTGTTAACAGGTATCAGTACTGTTTCTTTTTTATTGCTGGGTAGTATTCTGTTGTATGGCTGTAGCACATTCCGGTTACCCACTCATCAGCTCATGGCCTTTTAGGTGGTTTCCATTTTTTGGCTGTTATAAATAATGCTGCTCTGAGCATTTGTGTGCGAGCCTTTGTGTGGGGATGGTTTCATTTCTCTTGGGTAGATTCCTTTAATTTGTATTTTCCTAATGAGTAATGAGATCCTGTATGTGATTTTTTTGCCATTTGTATATCTTCATTGGTGAAAAGCCTATTCAGATCTTTGGCTCGTTTTGCTCGTTTTTAAATTAGTTGTCTTTTTGCTGTTGAGCTTTAAGCATTTTTTAAAATTTATTTTGGATACAAGTCTTTTGTCTTTTATCAGATATATAATTGCACATATTATCTCCCATTTGTTGGCTTGACTTCATTTTCTTTTTTTTTTTTTTTAAAGATTTTATTTATTTATTTTACAGACAGAGATCACAAGTAGGCAGAGAGGCAGCAGAGAGAGAGGAAAGCAAGCTCCCTGCTGAGCAGAGAGCCCGATGCGGGGCTCGATCCCAGGACCCTGGGATCATGACCTGAGCTGAAGGCAGAGGCTTTAACCCATTGAGCCACCCAGGCGCCCCTTGACTTCATTTTCTTAATAATGTCTTTAGAAGTGCAAATGTTTTAAATTTTTATAAAGTCCAATTTTTTTCTTTTTTCTTTTTTTCTTTTAAGTAGGCTCCATGCCCAATATGGGGCTTGAACTCATGACCCTGAGATCAAGAGTCACATGTTGTACCGACTGAGCCAGCCAGGTGCCCTTCCAATTCTTTTCCTTTATGGATTGTGCTTTTGGTTTTGTATCTATGAAATCTTTGCCTAACTTTAGGTCATGAAGATTTTTCTCCTATGTTTTCTTCTAGAAGTTTTATAATTTCAGTTTTTACATTTAGGTCTATGCTCCATTTGAACTTACTATTTTTTTTTTTAGAGAGCAAGCATGCATGTAGGGGGTTGGGGGGACGGACAGATGGAGAGGGAGAGAGAATCTTCTTGTTTTAAAGATTTATTTATTTTAGGGGAGCCCGGATGGCTCAGTTGGTTAAGTGTCTGCCTTTGGCTCAGGTTGTGATCCCAGAGTTCTGGGATTGAGCTCTTCTTCATCTGGCTCCCTGCTCAGCAGGTAGTCTGCTTGTTCTCTGCCATTGCCCATGCCCCCTGCATGTGTGTGCCTGTGCGTGCGCACGTTCTCTCTCTCTCTCTCTCTCTCTCTCTCAAATAAATAAATAAATAAACTCTTTAAAAAATTATTTATTTCAGTGAGGGAGTGCATCTGTAAGTGAGCATGGGGGGGGCGGAGAGGAAAGTGACAAAGGGGGAGAACCTAAGCATGACACTGAGATCATGACCTGAGCTGAAATCAAGAGTCCAACACTTAACTCACTGAGCCACCTAGGTGCCCCTTAAGTTACTTTTTATGTATGGTGTGAGGTGAGGGTGTAAATTAATGTTTTTATCCAGTTGTTATCAGCACCATTTATTGATAAGACTGTTTTTTCCCCACTGAATTGTCTTGACACCTCTGTTGAAAATTAATGGACCAAATGTATATAAGTTTATTTCTAGAGTCTCAAGTATGATACAATGAGCTACCAATGAGCTACATGTCTCCTTTTTTGCTTTTTTTTGTTTATTTTTTATTTTTTATTTTTTATTTTTTTTAATTTTTATTTATTTTTTATTATTATTATTTTTTAAAATATTTTATTTATTTATTTGACAGACAGGGATCACAAGTAGGCAGAGAGGCAGGCAGAGGGGGAGGGGGAAGCAGGCTCCCCTCTGAGCAGAGAGCCTGATGCGGGGCTCTCTATCCCAGGACCCTGAGATCATGACCTGAGCTAAAGGCAGAGGCTTAACCTACTGAGCCACCCAGGCTCCCTCTAAATCTATTTTTCTGATGCTATTGTGAATGGAATTATTTTTCTAAACTTCATTTTTGAATTATTCATTGTTAATATGTAGAAATGTAATTGATTTTTGTATATTGATTTTTACATTCTGTGACCTTGCTAAAATTATTGTTTTAGTTCCAGTGTTTTTGTTTCTTAATGAATTTCTTAGGATATTTTTACAGGATCATGTCCTTTGCAATTAAGGACAGTTTTACTTTTGAGTAGCCTGGCTGGCTCAGTTGGTAGAACATGGGGTCGTGAGTTTAAGCTCTACTTTGGGCATAGAGCTTACTTTAAAAAAAAAAAAAAAAAGGATAGTTCTATTTCTTTCCTTTTAATATATATATGCCCGCTTGTCTGTCCGTCCTTCCTTTCTTTCCTCCTTCTTCCCTCCCTCCCTTCCTTCCTTCCTTCCTCCCTCCCTCCCTCCTCTAGTACAGTCTCAAATAGAAGTGGACAGGTTTGTTTTGTTCCCAGTCTTAGGGGAAGCTTTCAGTCATTCACCAATAAGTATGCCACTTGTAAGTTTTTCATAGAAGCTTTTTACCAGATTAAGTAAATTTCCTTGAATTCCTAGTTTGTTGCATTTTTAAAAAAATCACGAATCGATGTTGAATTTTATCAAGTGCTTTTTCTATATCTATTGAGATGATTATGTAATTTTTATTTTTTATTTTAGTAAAATGATATATTACATCAATTGATTTTCAGACATTAAGTCAATTTTCTGTTTTTGGGACAAATCCCACTAGGTCATGTTGTGTAATCCTTTTAAGATGTTGTTGGATTTGGTTTGCTAATGTTTTGTTGACGATTTTTTTCATTTCTGTTCATGAGGGATACTGGACTGTAGTTTTCCTTTCTTGTGCTGACTCACTTTGATCTTATGTAATCTGGGTTAATGGAATGAGCTGGGGAGTGTCTCCACCTCTTCTAAAGTGAGGATTGATATTATTTCTTCTTTAAATGTTTGGTAGAATTTACTAGGGAAGCCATATGGATTTGAGTTTTCTTTGTGTTTAGATTTGTAAAATTATTATTTTTTTTTAAAGATTTATTTATTTATTTATTTGTCAGAAAGAGAGAGAGAGAGAGCACAGGCAGACAGAGTGGCAGGCAGAGGCAGAGGGAGAAGCAGGCTCCCCACAGAACAAGGAGCCCGATGTGGGACTCGATCCCAGGACGCTGGGATCATGACCTGAGCCGAAGGCAGCTGCTTGGAAGGCAGCTATGCTAACCACTATACCACCAACGCTCCGGCCCGAAGGCAGCTGCTTAACCAACTGAGCCACCCAGGCGTCCCTAGATTTGTAAAATTATTAATCCAATATCTTTAGCTCTTATAGATCTATTCAGATTTTGTTTCTTTTGGGGTTAATTTTGATAACGTCAGTTTTTCTAGGAATTTGTCCATTTGATCTACATTGTCTAACTTGTCAGCATAAAGTTGTTCATTTTATTATAATCCTTTTAGGTCGGTAGTGTCATTTCCTCTCTCATTCTTTATTTTTATAATTTGAATCTTTTCTCTCTTTTTGTCAATCTAGCCAAAGTTTAGCAAGTTTGTTGATCTTTTCATATTTGTTTATTTATTTGTAAAGATTTTATTTATTTGTAAGACAGAGAGAGAGAGAAAGAGAGAGCACAAGCAGGGGGAGTGGGAGAAGGAGAAGCAGGCTCTCTGCTGATCAAGGAGCCTATGCTCAGATGCTTGATTCCAGGACTCTGGGATCATGACCTGAGCGGAAGACAGATGGTTAATCCAGTGAGCCACCCAGGTGCTCAGCGGATCTGAGTGCTTGTCGATCTTTTTAAAGAGCCAACTTTTGGTTTCATTGATTCTCTTGTGTTGTTTTATTTTAGTCTTATCTTAAAAAATTATCTTAAAAAAATTAAAGTTACATAGGTATGTTATTTAAAGAATCTCATGTTCTGAAAGGCTTACTCACTGACATTAGGAAAAAAGAGCAGTGCTCATTTGCTTGTGACAAATTACCCTCTTGATCTCTAGAAACAATCATTTTCAACTCTGAGATGATTTTTATTTTAAAATATTTTTAATTTGATTTAATTTATTTAAAATTTTGTGTTTTTTGTACGGAGGTATGGTTGACACACAATGATACATCAATTTCAGTACAAGATAGTGATTCAACAAGTCTGTGTTACGCTGTGCTCACGAAAAGTGTGGCTGCCATCTGTCACTATACTCTGTGCAGGGGCCAAACTCATCTCTGTATCGTTCCAATTTTAGTATATGTGCTGCCAAAGCCAGCACTGTCACCATTATGAAATGATTTTTAAGATCTAAAGCTCTCAAAAATTTTTTTTATATTGCTATTTGATTTTTCAGGTTTAGCTGTTATTCTGCTGATTGCCCACACTACAAAAGATCATGATTTAGTTTTCATTCATGTTTCCCTCCTTTTTCTGTCCTCTCTATATTTAGTTTTTCATGTTTACATTATTATAATTTAAAAAACTTTCCAGTTGATTTTCTCCATTTAGAAATTTTTTTTTTGTCTTTTTCGTACATTGTTTTCCTTGGATTTGATCATTGTTTCATTGATTGTTTAGTTTGCTTAATTTCTATGAATTTATCATGAATTCAGCTTCGTACTCCAGTCAAGTGGCATAAATCTTTCAGTATGTTCAGACAGTTGAAGTATTCTGGGTTTATCTTTATTTTATTTTTTTAAAAGATTTTATTTATTTATTTGACAGAGATCACGAGTAGGCAGAGAGGCAGACAGAGAGAGAGGAAGGGAAGCAGGCTCCCTGCTGAGCAGAGAGCCTGATGTGGGGCTCCATTCCAGGACCCTGGGATCGTGACCTGAGCCGAAGGCAGAGGCTTAACCCACTGAGCCACCCAGGCCCCCCTCTGGGTTTATCTTTAATTGTAATTCTAACACAATTAACACACAGTGTTATATTAGTTTCAGATGTACAATACAGTGATTCAGCAATTCTATACGTTACCTGGGGCTCATCAAGATAAGTGTATTCTTAATCCCCTTCACCGCTTTCACCCAGCCCCCTGAAGCCTTCTTTTGTCTTCTGTGTGCATCTTCTTCAAGAAGTCACTCCTGGAGGCTTTGGCCAGTCCAGTAGTCCAGCTGGGACACATTGCCCATTAGGTGTTGTGCTTTCGTCTCAGGGTCACACTTGTCACCTGCTGTTCCTTTCTTCACTCTCCTAGAAATTCCATTGCTGTTTTTTCTGTCTTGAATTCCTTATATTTGGGATCCCATGTCTTTCTCCTTCTCAGTTTAGGTCTTCTTGAGAAAATTCATGGGAGGTAATCGTTTTGGAGCCTTGCAGATCTGAAATAGTCTTCCTCATTCCCTTGTAACTTGTTGGGCATAAAATTCTAAATGGAAATTATTTTCCCTTGGTATTTTTTCAGCATCCAGGAGATTTTTTTTTTTTTTTTTTAACATTTACTTATTTAGCTTTTCATTCCTTAGTTTGTATTTTGATTTCCAAGAGTTCTGTTTTCTGTTCTGGGAATATTTCATTTTTTTTCAATCACATTCAGTTTTTGTTTTATGGATGTTCGTTCTTCTCTTATTTTTCTGGAGGTTCCCCCCCCCCTCTTTTTTATGTTCCCTTTTCCCTGCATAATCTTTGAGGGTTCTTCCTCTCTGTCCCCTGATTTGGTCTCTGTCTTTCTAAACTCTTGCTTCCTAAATTCTGGTGATCCTCAGCTCACTGCTCTCTTATTTAAAACTAGGGGCCTAACAAGCTGATTGGAAGCCCAGTGTGTAAGGTTTGTGTTTATGGCATTCTCTATAGGGTGATATGGTTAAGGTGTTTGTTGAAGAACCCCTAGCGTTGGGGTGCCTGGGTGGCTCAATAGGTTAAGCCTCTGCCTTCAGCTCGGGTCATGATCTCGGGGTCCTGGGATCCAGCCCTGCATCGGGCGCTCTACTCAGCGCGGAGCCTGCTTCCTCCTCTCTCTCTGCCTGCCTCTCTGCCTGCTTGTGATCTCTATCTCTCTCTGTCGAGTAAATAAATAAAATCTTAAAAAAAAAAAAAAAAAGAACCCCCAGCGTTAGCATCTTTAGGTCTTTTTCACTTTGCTGGTTTTCACCTTCTATTCTCTGCTTGGCTGCCATTATTCTGGCATACAAGATGTTGTAGAAGACTAGCATAATTTTTGACTCAAGTCTCCTATTTTTGATGTGGGGTCTTATACCATTTCTATCTGATGTCTCTAATCCACAGACCTTCTGTTTTATCCTCACCCGGGAATAAACTGTTACTTTGTGCTTGCCAGAGTAAGAGAGATTGGTACCCAGTTGTGTGGTGTGTAGGGTAAAGGATCCCAGGATCTCATTTCTTTGGCAGACTTTCAACCAATTATCTTGTTTTTGCTCTACTTTTACCCCGTTTTCAAAGCTGTTGTCAATTAATTGAGCTTTTGGGTGTAAACCAGGTGGTGGAGGGCATTTATTACATGGAGCACTGGGTGTGGTACATAAACAATGAATTTTGGCACACTGAAAGTAAAATAAAGTAATATGGGTGTAAATCAGGTTGCTTTCCCCATCTTTGGCTTTAAATTCAGTTCTCTTATATAAATCAATTACCACTTGTCCACCTGATTCCAACTTCTGATATTTTATAGCTGTTACTCATCTTTGTGCTCTTTTTCCTTGTGGATTTTTATCTCTAAATTCTCTTTGCTGATACTTTCATTAAATTTTTAATTTTTGGGAGAGAGGGCTTTAATCTGCCTTTTTTTTTCTTTTTAAAGATTTGTTTATTTGTTTCAGAGAGAGAGGGAGAGTAGGGTAGGGGGCAGAGGGCAAGAGAATCCCAAGCAGACTCTGCACGCAGCATGGAGCCCATCCTGGGGCTCCATCTCATGATGCCGAGATCACACCTGAGCCAAAACCAAGAGTTGGAAGTTCAACCTACTATGCCACTGAGGCACCCCTAGTCTGCTCTGTTTAAGCCTAAATCTATGTTCTGTCACTCATGCTTTTTCTTTTTGTAATATATATTTATTACACTTGCAATAAATAAAATATAGTACTTAAAAACGTAAAAAGATCTCAGTATTTTCCGAGTATGCAGTCAGTGGGGTATCTGGGTGGCTCAGTCAATTAAGCATCTGCCTTAGGCTCAGGTCATATTCCCAGACTCCTGGGATCAGGACCTGAGTCAGGCTCCCTGCTTAGCCGGAAGCCCGCATCCCCTCTCCTTCCTGCTTGCGCTCTCTCTCTCACTACCTCTGTCTCTCTTTCAAATAAGTAAATAAAATCTTAAAAATGAAACACAACTGCACAGCTTGTGATAGAATCATTACTTTAAGTAGCATCTTGAAATGGTAGTTTGTTTCTAGCCACACACTATCTAGCTTTTGCAGTCAACATCTTTTACTAGATTGTACATTTCTTTAGGCCCAAGACCATATCATGTTGCTTGTGATTTTGAAAAATAACTTATTAGAAATACCAGGAATAGACTTAGTGAGAATTAAATCTTATTATCTCATTTTATAGGTTGAAGAATGCCTCATCTGATATAAAACAAATGTTTAAAAATGAAACAGACTTGGACATCACTGCTGAACTCAGAAAGAAGCTCCACAGGGCTAAGAAGGAAAAATTAGAAATAACAACTAAGCACAATGCAGAGGTAAAATTTTTTTCTGTCAATGTTGAAAGTAAAATTTGGTTATTTTAGATTCATTTTATATTACAGGCTCTATGTTTAACATTACCATGGCATTCTTGAGCTTAAAAAAGAAATTATAATAAAGAAAACAGGTTTTTTTTTTTAATATAGAGGAACTGTATGGGAGTGTTAAGTAAAAGTTTAATGAATTACTATATTTGTATGTTGTCTTAAATTTAATTAATGGGTTAAACTTGACAAAAAAGTAACTGATGAATGCCTTTAGTGACTAAAGGATTTATGAATTAGACATTTTTGAAATTTTAATTTAGGTTCTTTATGGCTCAATCATGGAACAATCTTAAGTAGATCTCAGTATGGGATTTTTTAAAAGATTTATTTATTTATTTTAGAGAGAGAAAGAGAGGAGAGATTGCACGTGGGTGAGTAGGGGAAGGGGCAGAGGGGGAGGGGTAGAGAGACTTGCCAAGCAGACTCCCTCAGGGAGCCTGATGAGGGGCTTGATCCCAGGACCCTGTGATTATGACCTGAACTGAAATTTCAGCAGACTGAGCCACCCAGGCGCCCCCATGTTCATATCACTTCTGTCAGTTGTGTTTTTTCTCTGTTTTCTCTTTTTCCTCTTTTTAAATCTCACTCTTTAAGTTCAGCTTAGGCAGGGACACCTGCGTGGCTCAGTTGGTTGGGCAGCTGCCTTCGGCTCGGGTCATGATCCCAGCGTCCTGGGATCGAGTCCCACATCGGGCTCCTTGCTCGGCAGGGAGCCTGCTTCTCCCTCTGCCTCTGCCTGCCACTCTGTCTGCCTGTGCTCGCTCTCTCTCCCTCTCTCTCTCTCTGACAAAGAAATAAACAAAATATTAAAAAAAAAAAAAGTTCAGCTTAGGCAGCCTGGTGTGGTGGGAAGAATATCAAGTTACACAAATCTGGACTCATTCTTGGCTCTTCCATAATTACAAGATAATGTGACCGTGGGCTAGTTGTTTATCCTGTACCTCATTGTTTTCCCACTGTGAAATGCTCGTCCCAAAGGGTTGTTGTGATAATTAAGGGAAATAAAATTTATAAAGTGCCTGTGTTCTATAATAGTGGCCATAATTTATTGACATTTAAGTATAAACAGTGTTGTTTCCTTCCTTTTTTTGTTGAATTCTAATGCTGTCCTGTCAGGAAAACTTTTAAATGCCCCCTAGGTGCAACAAATGACTCCTTCGCTCTGCTATAATGTGGTGCTATTACAGGTGCTTTAGAGCCCAAACATTTATTTCATGCTTCCCTGCTCTTTTTAGCCTCTAGGCGTCCTGAGAGCTGAAAGCACTGATCATGCTTTGTCCCTGTCTCTCTCACAGTTCTTCCTGGCACGCAGTAGGTCTTCAGTGGCTGTGCGTGGAATAAAAAAATGACTTTTTTCAGAGTCTAAGGAACAGGAATTTCTGATTAAAATAGGCAGCAGTGAATATGTGACCGTTTTATTTGTTCTTTTAGTGGCAGTTGAGGTCATTTTAAAGGGTAATTGTAGTAATTGCTTTGATGGACATTGTAATATTACATAGTGAATAGAAAGTAATGTTTGTTAAATGTATGTTAATTGTTTATAATCTCTAAAACTTATTTTTTAAAACCAAATATGTATTTTAGTTGGGAATAATTGTATTGTAATAATCATTTATATATATTCTTTCACATATATTTGCAGTTGTCATCAGAGTTCTTAGACCACACTCTTCTCTCTTGTTTGATCAAAATGTTTTGAAATATATGTTCACATTAAAGAGATAGGACATTATTTTAGGGGAGAATGATAATTTTCTTGGGGCGCTTGAGTGGCTCAGTTGTTAAGCGTCTGCCTTCAGCTCAGGTCATGATCTCAGGATCCTGGGATGAGCCCTGCATTGGGCTCCTGCCTTGGCGGAGAGCCTGCTTCCCCCCGTCTTGCTCCCCCTGCTTCCCTGCTTGTTTTCCCTCTCTCTCTCTCTCTCTCTGTCTCTCTCTTTGTCAAATAAATAAATAAAATCTTAAAAAAAAAAAAAGGAATGATAGTTTTCTTGCAATAGGCCGTTATCAGCTCAACTCCAGTTTCATGTTCCTGTTCATTCTTATTGTTTCAGTTATTTGTTTTGATGATTTTACTTGTATTATATACTAATTTTTTTAGTTGTATAATATGTAAATGTGCCCATTATAAAGCAGGGAAGAGAAGAATGAAGTTTTCTAAAAACTAAGGCCATATATTTGCTTTATTAAATACTTCTAATGCTTAAACACATCATACTGGTGATTGGCATAAAATATCTTTAAAGTCTGGGGTCCCTGGCTGTCTCAGTCAGTAGAGCATGTGACTCTTGATTGCTGAGTTGTGAGTTCGAGGCCCATGTTGGGTGTAGAAATTTCTTAAAAATAAAATCTTAAAAAAAATAAGATCTTTATCCATTGGTGGATGAATGGATACAGAAAATATAGTGTGTATGTATACACACACACAGGCATACAATGGACTATTATTCAGCCATAACAAAGAATGAAATCTTGCCATCTGTGACAACATGGATGGGCTTTGAGGGCATTAGGCTAAGTGAAATAAGTCAGACAGAGAAAGACAAATGCAGTATGATCTCATATGTGGAATCTAAAAACAAAAACCAAAAAACCAAGCTCATAGATATACAGAACAAATTGGTGGTTGTCAGAGTTTGGGGGTAGAGGATGGGTAAAATGGGTGAAGGGGGTCAGAAGGTATAAACTTCCAGTTATAAAATAAATAAGTCATGGGATTGTAATATACAGAATGGTGATTAGAGTTAATAGTATCATGTATTTGAAAGTTGCTAAGAGAGTAGATCTTAAAAGTTCTCATCACAAGAAAAAATTTATAATTATGTATGGTGACAGATGTTCGCTAGACTTGCGGTGATCATTTTGCAATATATACAAAATATGAAATCGTGATGGGCACCAGAAACTAATGTGTGAGTTATATCTCAATGAAAAAGAAAATAAAATAAATACCCTTAAAATCTCTAGGAATATTATTGTTATGGGTTCTTGGATAAATTATTTAATTTTTCTGAGCCTCAGTTTTCTTCGATAGGTTTAGAAATAGCAGATTACTTTTGAGATTAATTAGTAGGCAGAGGGTATGGAGAGAGGAGTTGCTTGTAAGGCTCACTGCTTCTAGTGAGATGAAGTTGCACTGATGCGGATGATTGGGATGTGAAAGTGCCACTGGATCTTCAGTGTTGCAGCGGTTGTTGGAATCATCAGAACATGGTAATAGAGATGTGTGAAAAAGAGATGTGTGAAAGAGGACATGGTAGTAGAGATGTCTGTTTCAGGACATGTGTGAAATTGGACAGAGCTGCTTTATTCAGATATCTCCATGGCCCAGACAGTGATGATAGAGCAGGGAGATCTCCTAGAGAAATGAGGATGGAATAGGATAAAGAAGAGCCATATAACTTTCTTTAGCCAAAAGGTACTGGAGACTTAGGACCAAGCAGAAGACATTGTTTGACTGATCTACCCAGTCCTTTTAAGAGTAAGGGTTCTTAAGATGGAATCCTTAGAAACAGAGACACCAAGGAATCCATATACTTAGATGTGGAAAAATTATAGTTTATGTTTACTAACCTCTAAGTCATTAAGCATTTCTTTCAGTTATGAAAGCCTTAACCTAGTTGGCCCTCCTTTAATAAGCCATCCTAGTATTAACAGTACTCTCTTTTTTTTTTTAATTTTTATTTTTTTTATTAACATATAATGTGTTATTAGCCCCAGGGGTACAGGTCTGTGAATTGCCAGGTTGACACACTTCGTAGCAATCACCATAGCACATACCTTCCCCAGTGTCCATAACCCAACCCCCCCTCCTCCTCCCCCTGGCAACCCTGTTTGTTTTGTGAGATTAAGAGTCTCTTATGGTTTGTCTCCCTCCCGATCCCATCTTGTTTCCTTTATTCCTTTCCTACCCCTAAGCCCCCCACGTTGCCTCTCAACTTCCTTATATCAGGGAGATCATAAGATAACTGTCTTTCTCTGATGGACTTTTTTCTGCTCAGCATAATACCCTCTAGTTCTATCCATATCGTTGCAAATGGCAAGATTTCGTTTCTTTTGATGGCTGCATAGTATTCCATTGTATATATACACCACATCTTCTTTATCCATTCATCTGCTGATGGACATCTAGGTTCTTTCCATAGTTTGGCTATTGTGGACATTGCTACTACAAACATTCAGGTGCATGTGCCCCTTTGGATTACTACATTTGTATCTTCAGGGTAAATACCCAGTAGTGTGATTGCTGGGTCATAGGGTAGCTCTATTTTCAACTTTCTGAGGAACCTCCATGCTGTTTTCCAGAGTGGTTGCACCAGCTTACATTCCCACCAACAGTGTAGGAGAGTCCCCCTTTCTCCGCATCCTTGCCAGCATCTGTCATTTCCTGACTTGTTAATTTGAGCCATTCTGTCTGGTGTGAGGTGGTATCACACAGTGGTTTTGATTTGTATTTTCCTGATGCCGAGTGATGTGGAGCACTTTTTCATGTGTCTGTTGGACATCTGGATGTCTTCTTTGCAAAAATGTCTGTTCATGTCCTCTGCCCATTTCTTGATTGGATTATTTGTTCTTTGGCTGTTGAGTTTGATAAGTTCTTTATAGATTTTGGATACTAGCCCTTTATCTGATATGTCATTTACAAATATCTTCTCCCATTCTGTCAGTTGTCCTTTGGTTTTGTTAACTGTTTCCTTTGCTGTGTGCAAAAGCTTTTGATCTTGATGAAGTCCCAGTAGTTCATTTTTGCCCTTGCTTCCCTTGCCTTTGGCTATGTTTCTAGGAAGAAGTTGCTGTGGCTGAGGTCGAAGAGGTTGCTGCCTGTGTTTTCTCCTCAAGGATTTTGATGGATTCTTGTCTCACATTGAGGTCTTTCATTCATTTTGACTCTATTTTTGTGAGTGGTGTAAGGAAATGGTCCAGTTTCATTTTTTTGCATGTGGCTGTCCAGTTTTCCCAACACCATTTGTTGAAGAGACTGTCTTTTTTCCATTGGACATTCTTTCCTGCTTTGTCGAAGATTAGTCGACCATAGAGTTGAGGGTCTATTTCTGGGCTTTGTATTCTGTTCCATTGATCTATGTGTTTGTTTTTGTGCCAGTACCATACTGTCTTAATGATGACAGCTTTGTAATAGAATTGGCAGTACGTTTAACCTTGTATTCACTAGAAATCACAGATACACAATTCCGTTATTGCAAGTTTCAAAATATTGTTTATACCTGTCACAACCTTGAAATTATACTGGTTGTGAGACTGTATGTAGAGCTTGTTATTTAGTGGATTATTAAAGAAGTACATTATGGCATCACAGATTTGCTTTTGTCTGACCTATTTGTTTTTATACTTTGATATTTTAATTGTTTAATGCATTTAATCATATTATTCTGAGAAGGCTTTGTGAGATTGCAAGGAGGATCATGGCATAAAATTGTGAAAAACCTTCCTATGAGAGGCTGAGGTATGCTGTAGGGGACTTGAAGAGTGCCACAGAGAGGAGCTTTGAAGATAGCTGGTTGAACATAAAGATGTTAAAGAATGCAGTCCTGTTTTCAAGGAGGGAAATCCCATTTTGCTGCTGCTGCTGCTGTAATGAATACATATGTAAGAAAGCAACCTCAAGAACAGAGGATAGGTTCCTAACAGCTGTGTGGGTAGCTCGAGAAATCAAATATGGTCCAATCAGGCAAGAAGAGGGACCTTAATAGAGGGAATTGGTTGTACAAGTGTTGGAAGTTGAATAGAGAATGGTGAGGTCACCCAGAGATTAGAGAATCCAAATAGAGAATGGTGAAGTCACCCGGAGATTAGTAACAGCAAGAAGCCACCACTGCCTATAGGCCAGTGGGCCAATGGGAAGAGAAGATGTGACCAGAGTCCTGAAGTTGGGGCTGTTTGGGGGAGGTAGAGCCACGGTAAGGGCTGTTCAGTGTTGGGATGCTGGAGGGGAGGGAGGGGGGTTGGACCTTGAAAGAGATACAGTTCCTGCCAGAGATACTACTAGAAGTCGAGCCATTGGGCAGTGGAGCATGGGAATTGTATAATAGAGTAGAGCAGATTAAGTGTGTTGGGGAAATGGATCAGAGATCAAACAGGAAAATGATTGGCTGTCCACACTTTTTATCACCCCTGTGCTCCTATATATCTCCCACACAGTAATATCTTTTTTCTGAGTAATGTAGCAGGTTGCAATTCAAATATCCTCTATACAAAGGTGCTCCCACCCTTGCCAAAATGGGGGCACACCAAGGCTTATTTGTTGTTGCATCCATCTCACAGATGATACATATCCTCACTATCAGGTCTTTATAATTTGCAACCTCATGAATTTAATTGAAAAGTTGCTATTTCCAGTATTTTTCATGTGAGGCCAGAGGGGAGGAGCCAAAAAAGTCAGTAATATATGCATATAACAGAGATGCAAAAAGCAGCTGCAGTTCTTATTCTTAGCGATGGTCCTAAGGTTACAATGATAGAAAGGTTAAGACTTCATATTTCGGAGGCTCAAGTTAATTGCCAACACTTGGACTTCATCACTCTGGAATTCCATGATTTTGATTGAAATTGGGGAGTCATCCATCCTAGCAAACTGTTAGAACTGGATTATTAAATCCAAACCAATCCCATGTATGTTCTTCAGGTTCCTGCTAAAACAAGATTAGAAAGATCTTGCATTTCTTTTGCTACATAAGCTATTTTCTCCTGGGCCAGGATATGCATGTCTCCTCCTACGGCATACTGAGATCTGAATTTATCTTTGGTGACAAAGAGTGGTGGACGTGTGCTTGCAAATTCTTTTGCAACGCAGCTGTTTCAGGCGTGCTCATTAGTAAGTCTTTAAGCAAAGGAAGGCTAATTATCTCAGACAGGGAGGCGAAACTGCTTTTGTTGGTAAGGGATGTTTAGAGGGGATTTGGAAATTTATAATTTTCAGGTTTGTCTAATTCCAAAAGCCCTCATCCCATCTTCTACCTTCCTACTTAGTGCCCAACGGCTACATACTATTTTTTTTTTTAAGATTTTATTTATTTATTTGATAGATCACAAGTAGGCAGAGAGGCAGGCAGAGAGAGAGAGGGGGAAGCAGGCTCCCCGCCGAGCAGAGAACCCAACTTGGGGCTCCATCCCAGGACCCTGAGTTCATGACCTGAGCCGAAGGCAGAGACTTAACCCACTGAGCCACCCAGGCGCCCCGATACGTACTATCTTAACATTAGAAACTTAGTGAGACTTTTCATTCAACTTGTAATGTAATTCTGCAGTCCCCATAATTAGATTTTCTGTGTGGTCTTTAAAGCCTTGTCAGCCACAGAGCTATAAGAAATAAGAGATTCTTTTAAAGTCAACATGGAAACTCTGGCTTTCTGACTGTTTTGAACTGAGATTCTAAAGATCTAAGATTATCATTTTGTTTTTAAGATTTTATTATTTATTTGAGAGAGAGGGCAGGGTTAGGAACAGAGGGAGAAGCAGACTCACCGCTAAGCAGGGAGCTTGATGTGGGGCTCAATCCTGGGATGTCCTGGCATCATGACTTGAACCAAAGGCAGGTGCTTACCTGACTGAGCCACCCAGGTGCCCCATTGTTTTGTTTTTGTAAGTTCTCTAACATAGTCGCATTTGGCCTTCCTACCCTACAGGTCTTGAAATAAACAATGCTGCCCTAATGGTTAAGCACAGTTGCTACTTCATCTCCCCAAGGCTTGTCCTCAACTGGCATTTTATTCTAAACTGTACATGATAATATAAATAGTTGTGATCCCACTGTATGCCATGGGTCATTGCAAAATTATTGCATTTCTACCTGCAAAGAGGCCTTCATTGATTAACAGGAGGGACTATCCAGGAGAATGTGAAGCAACAGGGAAGACAGGGATGTTGCTGAAGGTAGATATTGGAGCAGGAGAACTACCCTGGGTTCACTGCTTCTGCCCTTCTAAGCATATCACAAGTGCCTCCTATTGGCCAGACCTGAGACGCCAGTTGTCAAGGGAACCTGGGAAATGTAGTTCCTACAATACAGAGCATTGCTGTAGGAGAATAGGGAGGGGGTCTAGGGGCAAACAGGTGAACGCCTGGCACAACTGGGAATGTTCAAATGTTAAACAATGTTAGTCTTATGATGCGGGGAGATAGTGGGCAGGGAGGGATAGAGTGATTCTGAAACAAAGTGAGTTATCTTGAGTATATAATTAAGATTCTATGATTTTTTTTCTTTACTATTAAAAGATATTTGTAAATTCTTATTTTGTAAGCATAAGTATTTAGAAGACTTTGCTAATATTTTTTAAAAATAAAAATTACTACTTTTTATTCTTTATACGTACAAAATGTGTAACTCTGCTACACTCCATGTGTTAACAGCTACTTATGGTAATTTCTGATGTTGCTCTTTTGAATTCTTTTTTCTTATCTGATAATGGGACCATCTTTTTCTAGTCTGGTATAGTAGCTCAGTGCTTTCCTGCATGATGCCTTGCTAGCATTTTCTCTCATCCACCATCTCTTTCTTGACCACCAACAATAAATGAGTTTGCTTTTCTTTGAACTATTGTAACATTTTCACCTCTTTTATAAAACATCCTATGTGCCTTTCTACAGCATTTCATTACTTGAGGTCAGGGGCTCTGTAATGTTTGTTTTTATATCTTTCACTGTACTTGACACATAGGAGTGTTTAATATTATTTAATGAATTGTTGATTAGATTATAGAATTTTGGAGTGGGAATGGACTTTATAAAATCATTTAGTTCTGACTTTGACTTATCTTCTGTCCCACTACTCATGGAAGGTTGTTAGATAAATTAGACCTAGTTATTAAATATCTAGTTGTCTCAATATTAGATAAATTAGATATTAGTTCATTAAAAATCCCTGCAAAATTGGCACTTTTATTAGTTCATGCTCTGTCAGTAATGTCATAATCAAGAGAAATAATGTAGACAGTACTTACCAACTATGCTTTCATGCAATTTGCTTCTTGACTTCATTTAAGGAATAGGAAGCAGAGAGGGAAGAATGAATTTTAAAGTATTTACTGTGTGTCATTTTTCACTTCTTAGGCCTGATTATTTCTGATTAAAACTTGCAATTTTAAAATAAATTAAAAAAAAAAAGATTTTGTGTATTTATTTGACAGAGAGACAGTGAGAGCAGGAACACAAGCAGGGGGAGTGGAAGAGGGAGAAGCAGGCTTCTCGCTGAGCAGTGAGCCCAATGTGGGGCTTGATCCCAGGATCCTGGGATCAAGACCTGAGCCAAAGGCAGACACTTAATGACTGAGCCACCTAGGCACCCATAAAACTTGCGATTTTTAAGGGACGCCTGGCAGGCTCAGTCGGTAGAGCACGTGACTCTTAATCTTGGGATCATGAGTTCAAGCCCCACACTGAGCCTACTTAAAAAGAAAAAAAAAACCTTGTAATTTCTCCTTATTTTTATAAGCTCGTGAAAGCATTTTTTGTTTTTTTTCTCTAGTGGATTCTCTAAAATTAGAAAACTGAGTGTCATTTGGTAAGGCTATAGTCCTTCTTTTCCAGTCTTCTAGAAAATTATAAATTCATGAATTCTTGTCTTATCAATATTGTAGAAACATGTTTCTCTAAGACATTTAAATGTTTGGGTGCACGATCTCATTATCTTGGTGCCATATTTTAATATTGGTTCATGATCTCGAAATCTATTTTTAGCTGGCAAGCTATGAAAGCCAGATTGCCAAGCTGCGATCCGAGGTGGAAAAAGGAGAGGCATTGCGACAAAGTCTGGAATATGACCTGGCTGTTGCTAGAAAGGAAGCTGGTCTCGGGAGACGGGCTGCTGAAGAAAGGTTAGCCGAAGCACATAGGATCCAAGAAAAACTCTGTGGTAAGACTACTGTATTTTTTCCCATGTTTAGGGTTTTAACTTTATTGCGTAGCAGTAACACAGTGCTTACTGTTGTATGTGTTCACCACATAGGGGCAGAGGTAGGCCTTTGATGGACAGACTTCACCAGGTGTGTATAAAGTCTTCTAGCACTCATGTGAACATTCACCTTCTTCACATTCATTTTTTGTATGTTGTGCATGTATGGGAAAAAGGGGTTCAAAATTCTCTTAATCATTTTGTAGAGTAGTCGTTCCCTGAATAATCAATCAGCAGAATCATATAGAGATTTTAAAATAAAACAAAATCAAACCATTCACAGGCCCCCTGTCACATGTTTTCTGAATTAGAATTTCTAGCTTGAGACAGTCTATATGTTCAAGAAGGACTGCAGGTATTTTGTTGATTGGCTAGGTTTGGGAACCACGGGGTTAAAGAGTGGTGCCTAGAAAAGTGGAATCCTCAAAAGCTCTCTGTTATGTAGCATATGAGCACTTAAAAATATTTTTATTTGAATATAATGTATGTGGGTGCCTGGGTGGCTCAGTTGATTAAGCGTCTGCCTTCTGCTCAGGTCATGATCCCCCGGTCCTGAGATCAAGTCCTAGGTCAGGCTCCCTGCTCGGTGGGGAGCCTGTTTCTCCCCCTGGCTGCCACTCCCCCTTCTTGTGCTCTCTTTCTCTCTGTCAAATAAATGAATAAAATCTTAAAAAAGTATAATATATGTAAAGAAATGTGCCTAATATAAGTGTATAACTCATAAGAAGCACCCAGATCATGGAATGGAACATTTCCGGAAGTCCTTCCACACGGATAACTACTATTCTGATTTTTAATAGCGTGGATAAATTGTGCCTCTTTTTTGTACTTCATATTAAACGGAATCATATAATATGTACTCGTTTATGTTTGGCTTCTTTCCTTTGACATTGCATGTGTGAGTTCATCTATATCGTTGTATGAACTTTGTACTGATACTTAGTATTACACTGAATGACGTATCACATAAATTTATCAATTTCTGTTAATGGGCACTTGGGTAATATCCAGTTCTTGGTTATTAAGAATAATGTTGCTATGGACATTCCTTTTTTTAAAGTTTTTACTTTTAAGTAATCTCTATACCCAGTGTAGAGCTCAAATTCACAACCCTGAGATCAAGAATGGCATGCTTCACTGACAAGCCCGCCAGGCGCCCCGATGCTCCTGTGAACATTCCTGTATGCAACAGGTTTTAATTAAGAGAACATCGAACATGAATTCAGAAGATTTAGATTTAGATCCTGGTTTTACCACTTACCCTAGGTTGCTTTAAGGATGAAGTGAAAAAAATGAAAGTTCTTTGTGGTTACATGGGACTAAATGAATGTTAACTTGCAATTATTGTGAGGTTCTGGGCCCGAGTTGTGGCCAGCTGTTTTGGGTTATTTCCACTGGTCAAAGTATTTTTTTTTTTTTTTTTTAAAAGATTGTGTTTATTTATTTGACAGAGAGAGAGAGAGAGATCACAAGTAGGCAGAGAGAGAGGAAGGGAAGCAGGCTCCCCGCCGAGCAGAGAGCCCGATGTGGGGCTTGATCCCAGGACTCTGGGATCATGACCTGAGCCAAAGGCAGAGGCTTTAACCCACTGAGCCACCCAGGTGCCCCTGGTCAAAGTATTTTTGATTACCTCTGGCATTTAATAACCACAACACTACCCGGAACTTATAAGAATTGAAAGGCACTAAATATACAAGTTAATGACTTTGATTTAATTTTGAGGAGGTTGAAGTCCAGGGAAGATGGGAAGTTATTTCCCAAAGTCAAATGATTTCAACAGACACTTCATAGAGGAAGAGAGAATAGCCATTAATGAGATGAAAAATACTTAATCTCACTTGTCTTCAGAGAAACGTAAATTAAAGCCACAGTGACTGTTTATTACATATGCATTAGGTGGTGCTAATTGGGAAGACTGTCAATACCAAATGTTAGTAAGGATGTAGAGCAACTGGAACTCTTCTACTTTGTAAGTGGGAGAGTAAATGGTCTAACTACTTTGGAAAAAAACCTGGTAATTTCTTTTAAATAAATAGTTGGGAGACAACTTGTTAGATAGTCAAAATGTTTGTGAACTGGAAGCACCAGATACCTCTGGAATTAGGAATTGGAATAGCAGTAGTAGGTAAAAAAAAAAGGAGGTTAAATGAAAGCTCTTTGCTTTAGAAGCAGTTAGGTTCTTAGATCTCCTTCCCAAGAGCAGTGTACTCTGGGATTGCTCTCACTTTCTAGAGGGAGCTGGGTGGCTTAACCTCTGGAGATGATAAAATATAGGGTCTCCAGACTAGCAAAAACAGGAAGATAGCATAGTCAATGCCGAATATTGAGAAACTATTCCTTCCAGTCTCCTTTTTCTATTGGTTTCTCCAAAAGCTAGCACCCGGATTTCTATACTCCTGGGGCGCCTGGGTGGCTCAGTGAGGTAAGCCTCTGCCTTTGGCTCAGGTCATGATCTCAGGGTCCTGGGATCGAGCCCCACATCGGGCCCTCTGCTTAGTGGGGAGCCTGCTTCCCCCTCTCTCTGCCTGCCTCTCTGCCTGCTTGTGATTTCTCTCTCTCAGTCAAATAAATTAATAAAAAAATATATGTATATATACTCCATGTGGGAGCTTAAAAGACTCTTCTATAGATCATCGGACCAAACCAAGAGGAAAAACCTAATGATACTAATGTTGGGAGTTTCCTAATAAATGGCCCAACCATATCCTTCTCCAGTGCAGGACGACAGTTATCAAGCCTCCCTTTCAGAATCTAGTGTTGGCTATATGAGTGTGTCACCTTTACAGTTATTTTAATTGAGAGAACAGAACTAAGAATTACCAGATGCTTGGGGAAAGCCTCTAAAATGGAGAGAAAAAAATAATAATTTGGAAGAATCAGAAACTGCAGGGGAAAAGAAGATTTAACAAACAAGGAGCATTAATATCTACAGAGCTGAAAGAGAATATATTTTATCCATGAAGCAAGAATCAGATGCTATAAAAAAAAGGGGGAAGCTCTTAGAAATTAAAAATATGAAATCAGGAATGAAAAATATCAACAGAAACATTGGGAGATGAAAATGGAAGAAATCTCCCAGCAATTAGAGTAAAAAAAGCAGAGGTAGAGAAACAGGAGAGAAAAGGCAAGAAAATTTGAGGGTCAATTTGAATAATAGGTAATATTGAAATAAGAGATAAGAGACAAAACAGGGAGGGATAAATCCTCTATGAAATTACGCAGGACGTTATCTCAGAACTAAAGGTTACGAGTTGCCAGATCGAAAGGGCCCATTGAATATTCACCACCATGACAAGAAATAGACCCACCTGAGGGCAAAGCATTATGCAATTTCAGAAAAATAGAGACAAAGTGAAGATCTCAAAGCTTTTCAAAGAGAAAAGACACAAAAGAAAAATAGGCCACATGCAAACGAACGGGAATTAAATGGCTTTAAATTTCTTGCCTATAATCTGGGATGCTAGATCATGGAATAATGTCATGTCGAAAGAATAACTGAATTAGGGGAAACTTTTTTTTTAAGATTTTATTTATTTATTTGAGAGAGAGAGAGAATGAGAGGTCAGTAGGAGAAGCAGACTTCCTGCTGAGCAGAGAGCCTGATGTGGGACTTGATCCCAGGATCATGACCTGAGCCGAAGGCCATTGTTTAACCAGCTAAGCCACCCAGGTGCCCCTAGGGGAGAATTTTTGTGCCTCTTATACCTTTGACTATTGAAACTTTTGTGTTTGAAACACAAACATTGTTTGTTTATTTTAGTTTCAGAGGAAGAGTTTAGTGATTCATCAGTTGCACGCAACACCCAGTGCTCATCAGAAGTGCTCTCCTTGGTGCCTGTCATCCAGTTACCCCATCCCCCAGCTATCTCCCCTCCGCTAAACCTCAGTTTGTTTCCTAGAGTTAAGAGTCTCTTATGGTTTGTCTCCCTCTCTGATTTTGTCCTTTTTTATTTTTCCCTCCCTTCCCCTATGTTCCTCTGTTTTGTTTCTTAAATTCCACCTGTGAGTGAGATGATATAATATTTGTCTTTCTCTGACTGACTTATTTCACTTAGTATAATACCCTCTAGGTTGCAAAAGGCAATATTTCATTCTTTTTGATGGCTGAGCAATATTCCATTGTATTTATGTATGTATTATATACATATTATTATATATACATGCGTATATGTGTATATATATATTCCACATCATCTTTATCCATCATCTGTTGATGGACATCTGAGCTCTTTGCATAGTTTGGCTATTGTGGACATTGCTGCTATAGACATTGAGGTGCACGTGCCCCTTTGAATTACTATATTTGTGTCCTTTGGATAAATACCCAGTAGTGCAATTGTTGGGTCATAGGGTAACTCTATTTTCAACTTTTTGAGGAACCTCCATGCTGTTTTCCAGAGTTGCTGCATCAACTTGTATTCCCACAGTGTAACAGGGTTCCCCTCTCTCCTCATCCTCACCAACATCTGTTGTTTCCTGACTTGTTAATTTTAGCCATTTTGACTGGTGTGAGGTGGTATCACATTGTGGTTTTAATTAACTTTAATATACTTTAATATAACTTAAAAATAATACTACTAACTGTGGCTTTTTTTTTTTCTATTTTGGTTTGTTTAACAAGTGTGTTTGTGTGTATTTTCTCATTTTATCTTCACAACAGCTTAACTAGGAGACATTTTATTCCCACTAAAGGTTAGAGAGTCAGAGAGGTTTAATCAGGTGGTAGGTGAGGGAGCCAGACCCATAAAGGGTTCCATTGCTTCTTTTCTAGATGTTGAGGTGAAGCAGCAGCTGTAGTGAGTTGAGAGGTGTTAGTTAATGTCGGGGTAATACTAGGATGAGAGATGTGTTGAGCCTAACCTCGGTAGAGTCAATAGCTCGAGTTCTGAGGGCTGGACCAGTGGCTCCCAACCTCAGTTTTGTGACAGCCTCATGTGTAACTGTGTCACAACTAATTTCTTGCCAATAGTCAAATATCAAAATTTGTAATCTATTAAGTATTTTACAAAAGTAGTCCTATAGACCACAGTTTAAAAAAACACACAGCGTTTGATTTATTTTCTTGAATAGAAGAAATGTAGTAGATTTGCAGTTGGTGAAAGAGGTGCACCCAAACATGGGGACATAGCCTACCATTTCATGCAAAATCACCTAGGTCTGGAGGGGAAGAAGAGATTGAGAAATTAGAGAATGGATTGTTCTGGAACAGGGAGTTTTTCTGAGTTGACTGGTGTGAAGTGGTTAAATGTTTTCTTCAGAGATCAAGCTGTAAATGGAATCAACTCCAGCGCCTAGGTGTTTGAATTCCTAGGAATTTAATTTGTGGTTATAGGCATACCCATTATTCTTTAATATTTTTAATAGCTCAGAATGCAGAACTTCAAGGAAAGGCAAATGAGATGGAGAAAGCATTCCAGACTTCCCAGCTGAAGTGGAAAGAAGAATGCAGAAGATTTGAACATGATTTGGAGGAAAGAGACAATATAATTCAAAGTTGCAATCGAGAATATGATTTACTTATGAAAGAAAAAAGCAGACTAGAAAAAACTGTACAGGTAAATTATTATTTTTTAAAAGATTGATTTATATCAGAGAGAGAGTGAGAGAGAGCACGTGGGCATGCACATGAGCTGGGGGAGGGGTAGAGGGTGAGAGAGAATCTCAAGTGGACTCCCTGCTTAGTGTGGAGCTGGACCTGGGGCTCGATCCCAGGACCCTGAGATCATGACCTGAGCCGAAACCAAGAGTTGGATACTCAACCGACTGAGCCATCCACCAGGTAAATTATTTTTATGAAATAATTTTTTTAGATTCATTGAGATGTATTACACATTATTTGAACTTATGCTTGGAAAGGAAAGTATCTACCAGAAATCAAAGAAAATCTGATTTCCTCCTGCCCACCTTCCCTTACTCCCTCTCTTCTTTCCTTTCAGGGGCATTTTTATGGGTCTCTTTTGTAATATTTAACAATATATTGATATGTATGCTGTTTTCTTTTGTGAAAAAGGTTGAGATCTCTGGTCAAGCTAGAAGAACTCACTTATGTGAAAGTATCAGAAAATGAGAACCTCTTGTCCTTTAAGTTTAGCCATATGAAAGTTTGGAATTTTAGAAATGTGGGCATTAGATTTTAGTCTTAGTATACAATAAATATAAAAAAATTACATATCTGATATGGATTTCATTATATATGTAGAGTACATTCTATATAGATAAGACATGAAAAATATTTGGTGACCCTTTACTGAAATTATTTGAGCTATTTATTTTCCATTTTTTGTTCTTTTTTTTCTTTATCTCTCTAAAGTAAAAGTATGGTTTAACTTGAAGTTGCCAACCCCTTAAAAGATAGATTTTGAATTGCTTATATTTGTCATTTTTTCTGAAGCACCAGTTTAAATTAAAAAAAAAAAAAAACAACAACAACATGATAGAAACGCTTTTATTTACCGCTGGTGTATATGGGTTTTCAGAACTCTAGAGAAACGAATCTTTATTAGAGGTAAGTTTACACAAGCATTTCCTAAATGTGAAAGTTTCAGTACAAGGTTCCATGGCATTGTCACCAGATCTTCTGATTTCCTCCATTTCAGACACAGTTTGTCTCTTCCTTTAGTGTTATGTTCCCAGGTCCTTGAACAGTGCCTGGTGTGTGCAGGGGTTCCCCCATCTGAATGGGGGTAGTTTAGGTGGCTCCAGGTGCTCCGAGTTCCTGGGCGGCTGTGTATCACCTTGCTCATGTAGAATGTCTAGAGCTACGGGGAAAGAAGCATAATGGCCGCGGCATTCCTTATAGTCAGTCAATCAGGCACCTCAAGTTATAAAATCTTTCCGTGATCTGGCTGAGCTGCTTGATAAGAGAACTTTGCTTGATTTTATGCTACTGGCTTTGAGCTGATTTGTATAGACTAAGTAGGGGAATATAGGGTTCAATAAGCATCATACTGTTTATCCCGAAGGGGGAAAGGCTCAATGCCCTTTGTGAAGACTTTCCATTAGTGAAAGTTGTAAGGGTAATATTCATGATGCAGATCCCAGCTACTGTTTATATGGACACTGAAGGCCTTCCCACCTTCTCATATCAACCACACAGTCTTTCTCCTTGTGTTAATGGGAACTTAGTTTTAAAGGGGGCTTCTTGCTTTAACCAAGTTAGATCTTATAAATGTAGTACAACTAGGAAAACCCAAGAAGAAAAGTCTTTTGTGAGTATTATCTGTAGAACAAGAAATTAGTCATGGCCCAAACCTTAAAAATTTTTTGACTTTTAAGATGTTTAACACTTTAGTGTTTCCTTATCCTGATCTGTTGCACGAAATATCTTTCTTATCACTTTTGGTCAATACAGTGTATTCTGTGAGTTTTATATGTAAATTACCAGGGTTGATCCAAACAGTTTGTTCATAGGTAATTAGAACTTCCCATATTATCTACTTTACATAGAAGATGTACATATAGATTACATATAATCTACATTCTGATGATCAAAATATATTATAGTTCTATTAATGATTTTAATATAAATTATAATGAGTTTTAGCTATAGGTAAGGAGAACCCTTGGTACAGTTGAATTGGGGAAAAAGGAAGAAAGATGACTTTCATTGATCAAATAGTAAAGCAAGATTTTATTCGTATAAAGGAAGCGTTGGAAAAACATCAGCAGGAGAAGAATGAGATGGAGTCTCATATCAGGGAGACAGCACTGGAGGAGTTTAGATTACAAGCAGAACAATGGGAAGCAGAAAGAAGAGAGTTACAATTTATAGTACAGGTATTTAAAAAATAATAATTCAGTTCCTTAAATGTGTCTTTTTAATGCTTAGGATATTAAATATTGCATTAGTGCAATAACTGGCTAGTTTACTCAACACAAAAATGATTCCTAATCTTTGATCTGTCTAAGGCCATGTTTCATTTGGGGTTACATGACAATATGGGCAACTCTTATGAGCATATACTATCTGAATTAGAGTTGGGTGACTTCTGTTGCATAAATTATGTGATTTTTGAGACATATGTACATTTGGTATTTTATTTTTCCAGTTTAAAATATGAGACTGTTCACAGCCTTTAACAGCATAAAGAAATAGAATGATTGGCTTTTAGATATTAAAGGATGCGTATAAATTAATATAGCATAGTGATTTTTCAACTCTTTTTTAAAGAAGAGCAAATTTTTTTTTTTTTAAGATTTTTTTTAATTTATTCATTTGACAGAGAGAGAGATCACAAGTAGGCAGAGAGGCAGGCAGAGAGAGAGGAGGAAGCGGGCTCCCCACCAAGCAGAGAGCCCGATGTGGGGCTCGATCCCAGGACCCTGGGATCACGACCTGAGCTGAAGGCAGAGGCTTAACCCACTGAGCCACCCAGGTGCCCCTAAAGAAGAGCAAATTTTTAAAAACTTTTTATTTAAATTGAATTAACGTATGATGTATTACTAGTTTCAGAGATAGAGATCAGTGATTCATCAGTCTTATATAACACCCAGTGCTCATCACATCATGTGCCCTCCTTAATGTCAGTTACCCAGTTACCCCATCCCCCCACCCACTCCCCTCCAGCAACCCTCAGTTTGTTTCCTATGATTAAGAGTCTCTTATGGTTTGTCTCCCTCTCTGCCTTCGTCTTGTTGTTTTTTTCTCCCTTAAGAAGAACAAATTCTTTTTTTATTTTTAAGATTATTTATTTATTTATTTATTTATTTGACAGAAAGAGAGAGAGAGAAAGAGCACAAGTAGGGGGAGCAGCAGGCAGAGGGAGAGAGAGAAGCAGGTTCCCTGCTGAGCGAGGAGCTCTATCCCTGGGACCCCAGAGATCATGACCTGAGCAAAACGCAGCTGCTTAACGACTGAGCCACTCAGGTGTCCCAAGAAGAGCAAATTCTTAATCATGTCCTATTTACTCCTTTTCCCCATCACACAGAATCCACAAGCCTTCAGATAGTCTGGTTGGAAAATAACTGATTATACCCAACCCCCATTGTAGATGAGCAGATGGAGATTTATGATTTACTCAGATCATAGTCTGAGTAATTAATGTGGGAAGAGACTACCAGTCACCAGATTCTCATTTTGGTGTATTGTGCATTTTTTTCAGGAGATTACATGTAAATTATTTTGAAAGAGAGAGAAGAGAAATTTAAACTGTTAATTCACTGACCAACTTAACTTAAAATTTAAAATAAATTTCTATAATTTCTTCTATTACTTATTTGGTTATAAGATATTTTCTCTGTATAAAACAACAAATTGAAATACAGTCTTTGTAGACTATAGGCACACCAAGGTACACATTCTTCACAGAATGAAGAATATCCATCTAAAATGAATTTTGGAGTAGTTTTATGTTAGAAACCACTCTGCAAGACAATGGCAGCCCAAAACATGCAGAGAATAAGAGCCACCTTATTTCTTTAAGAGTGAAAGCAGTGGAAATATTGAATTCGTTAACATTTGTAAGTATTCAAAATACCAACAAATCCACAGCTTTGCCAAACCTTTGGTCTTGGATGTTGTTTTCTTACCAGTCACTCCATTTGTAGAATCTGGAAAGATATTATAGTCATTCTTTACACCTCTTGGTATTCTTAGAGTCTGTTTGTAATTTGTATCCCTTCCTTTCTTCCTTTTTCTCTCCCTTCTTTCTTCCTTCCTTCCTTCCTTGTACATACTGAGTTTCTGCTATGGGTGCTGAGGATACAAAATTGATAAGACCCTTGAAGATCTTAAAACAGAGAGACATGTAAAGAGAGAAATTGGAATATAATAAAAGTTTGAACAAAATACTATGGGGTCATGAAAGAGAAATTGATTAAGTGCCTAGGAGATTGGGGAAATCATCACAGAATGGCTGACATTTGAACTGTTGTTGATAATTGTCTTAAAGTCTACCTGAAACAAACAAGTAAACATAAGTAAATGAAAATAACCTCTTCATTTCTGAACACTCAGAAATCTCCAGTGCCAATAGTCAGAAGCCTTAAACTTGTAAAATATGATTCAGAAGCCTTTATATTTAAATGTGGGAGTGATGCGATTTTAGATGCAGTTTCTTGGTCAATCCTATAAACCTTAGATGAAACGTATGTGACTTTATATTATGAAGTACTAAAGGAATAAAGTGTTAGTCTTTTTTTTTTTTTTAAGATTTTATTTTTTTTTAAGTAATCTCTACACCCAACATGGGGCTCGAACTCACAACCCTGAGATTGAGTCTCATGCTCCCCCGACCAAGCCAGCCTGGCACCCTGGTATCAGGCTTTAATTATGTATGGGAAAGAATAGGGAATATACTCCTTAGTTACTATGACCTTTTGTAAGATAATTTTTTAAAGGTTTTATTTAAATTCCAATTAGTTAACATATAGTGTAATATTAGTGTAAGATACATTTTATTGTATTGTGTCACTGAAATGTTCGGAGCTCAGTCTCTCAATTTCCTGTCCTTTTAACATTAACAAAATAAAACTGTTTTTCCTTTTTAAAGCAAGTTTAAGAAACTATTTGTATTTTTTTAGAAGTCTTTTTTTAAACAAGTCGAGGGATAGATTGAAATTCTCTTCTCTGTTGGCTATTGATGGATTTAGGTTTCCATCGTATAATTAGATGTTAGTATGGTATAGTGTTCTCTTTGTGTAACTCTCTAAGGGAATTCAGCTTTTAAAATACGTTAAAAAAAAACAAAACCCTCCTAAGTGAAATCCCATCTTTAACAGACAAAGCAGGTGTAGTATTTCTTTCATCTGGGCTTTAGAATTCAGTCCCACTACTAAAAAAAATCTTAATTTTATGCCATGTCTCTTTTCTTTCCTAGTAATTGAAAAGCTAAATAGAGGTGTACTTCTCTGGAATATTAATGGGAACTCTGCAGTTACCTCATTTAAAAAAAGTATTTCTCATTTTTTTAAATGCATGTCCTCTTCTGATAAACATAAAAACTCCATGTCTTCCTTTAGCACTATTTGAAATTTCAAAACAAATCAAAGCCAATTTAATTTAAAAACAAAGTATTTATATTGATTTTGAAACACATATTCTTATTTTTTATCTCTGCTTATTAAATTTTTAACTTAAAATGACTCTGTTATGTTTTTATTTTTCTTCATTCCTGCTCTAGCAATAGGAATTTTGAGGATGCTTACTTGCTTTTGTTTTTAAGACTTTATTCATTTATTTGACGCAAAGAGCATTAGCTTGGGGCGGGGGAGGGGAAGGGAGGAGCAGAGGAAGAAGGAGAAGCAGGCTCCCCACTGAGCAGGGAGCCCAGATGGGGCTTGATTCCAGGACTCCAGGATCATGACCTGACCCGACCTGAGCTGAAGACAGATGCTTAACCAACTGAGCCACCCAGGTGGTGCTTCAATGTATAATTTATCAGTAGGATTGAGAGCATTTAGAAGATGTATATTTTTTCGTATTTGTTTCCCAAATTCTAGAACTCAACCAGGGAATAAAATGATCCTTTCCTCCTTCATCGACTAAATTCAGCTTAAGTGTCTAGTGATAAAGAGATGGCAGAGTCTGTAATGGCAAAACTCATGAGGAATGTAGACTGAAAATAACAACATACACTGAAGAGGAGGGAGAGTGGGGACGCAGTAAAGAAGGTATCAGGGTAGGCTTAGGCATTAGTAGGCCAGATGTTAGGGAGTGGAGGGCAAGGTGTGGAAGAATGACCCCATAGACACAGTTATGATCTAGGGACAGCTTGGAGGAAGCTCCACTGGGAAGGAAGTATTTCAGAAGTTTGCCTGAAATGGTCTAGAGCGGCAAGGAGCATTTCTTTGCAGTTACCTAGGAAACTGCCCACTGGTACCTTGTGTAAGAGAGCGGTATAGATAGTGACTCAGGCGCTGGGTATACTGCCTTGTTTCCAATCAGGAAATAGCTTTATAGTCAATTCATAAAATGACTATATATTGTGCTCACTGTAAAAAAATGCCCTCATCTAGGGAAACTTAAAAGCAAAAGTGAAGGTCCTATGACTCCCCCTCGAATCCCACTCCTTATCTAAGGGGATATAAACATTTATCACTGTATTACATAAACGGAATTCTATTTCTTGGTGTGTTTGGTGTCCATCTTTTGACATCCTTGTATTATTCTTGTAGGGTTTGCATGGTTTTCTGCCATGTGGACATTCCCAATATGTATTGAGGAATCCCTTATTGAAAGACATTTTATTTCCTTCAAAAATTTTTTGCTCTAATCGAGATTTGGGGTGCCTGTCTGGCTCAGTCCATAGGGCATGTGACTCTTGGCTTTGGGGTTGTGAGTTCATGCCCCGTGTCGGGTGTAGAGCTTACTTTATAAATTCTTAAAAAGATTTTATTTATTTATTTGAGAGAGAGAGACAGAGAGCATGAGAGGGAGAGAGAGCAAGCATGAGCAGGGGTAAGTGCAGAGAGAGAGGGAGAAGCCGATTCCCCACTGAGCAGGAAACCTGATGCAGGGCTGTATCCCAGGACCCCAGGATCATAACCTGAGCCAAAGGTAGACATCCAACCAACTGAGCCACCCAAGCACCCCAAGCTTACTTTAAAAAAGAGAAAAACAAACAAACAAACAAAACGGAAGAAATGATTCACTAACATTCCTGGCCATATCTTTGAGCTGTAGGACAAGTGATTGAACTGTGTAAATGCCTAAACGTATCACTGCTTAGTGTGCAAGCTTATGGATTCATCATGATCGGTACTACACAAAGTACCATTTTATACTTTGTGGCTGCAAACACTATTTCTTTTTGTAGAACTGTGCTGGCTTTGGGGATTTCAGGAGATAAGCATGTACTAGGTTGGGGTGGTAACTAACTAAATTGATATATTTTGTGAGGTAGGGAGGAGGACTACTTTAGCTCTGATAGGTTTCTAACCATACTTTTGTAATTCTTCAGACCTAAAAACTGTATTTTGGAGTCTGAGAAATGTTGTTTATATAAAAGTTACATATAAAAAATTATAGTTTGGGGGCTATGTTTCTGAAACATGTGGACAGAAAGCAAGTTTATTTTCTAGTAGTGTAATGTGGTTTCCTGTGATGGTAAAAGTCAGTTCAAAGCCTCATTTTAAAATATTTTAAGTTCAACACCTCCCTCTAGTGGATAAAAGAAAAACTCCTTCAATTTCCATTGTCCTTAATAATGATTGTGTTACACACCCACACACATCATACTTACTTTTTCACTGTCAGGATCCCGGTAGCTTTTTGTTTTATTACAAAATAAATTCTGTGACAAAATTTCTAAACCTTTATTTGCAAGGAGAGAAATTATTCTTGATATATAACTGCATGAACTATTTTATAACTCTTTTGGAATTTTCTTATATGTTATTTAAAGCACCCCAGTCTTGGATTGTGTTGATAAAACCATAAACTTAAAACATACAAACAATAGCAGGGGTTAATATAACCAGTACCTGGCATAACGTACCATATCATTAAATACTAAAATTTATCATCAAGATCATGTTTGTCGTATTTGTTTCAGAATTAAAAACAGACAAGCAATAAATTGCTACATTATTAAGACTGACTATTCTGAATTACTTCATTATCCCACCATCACCCTATTCACAAAAGATACCAGTATTCTGAAGTTAGTGTTTAGTATTCTGTCTGTATACATTGACAGTGTATCCAATTATTTTGTTATTTTTTGTGTTTTAAAAATATACATAGAGTATTGGAAGGTATGAATCTTTGTCCAGCTTATTGTTCTCACTTGTGCTTTTGAGATTTTGATAACATATCAAACTGATAAATCTTGATGCTAAATTGACAAGGATACAGGAAATGATGATTATAACCAATCTCACTAATGAATATACATACAAAAGTATTATATAAAATATTAGCCAAGTCAGTGCAGCAAAATATGAAAAGATATAAAAGACCTTTATACAATAAAATGCCGAGTTTAACATTAGAAAATTAATCACTGTTCATTTGAAATTAATATAATCCCTTAACTATATAAATTTCTTGAATATGTAAACAGAATTCCTAAAAAATCTACACTATTTGAGAAAGACAGTTTTTTAAATAAAAACTGTGTATGTGTTTTTATATGCATATCCAAAGATATATAGTAATTGTCACATATTAGTGATTAGGTGACCTCTGCATTGAAACTGGAATTGTTAGGTCAGAAATTTCACCTACATCTTGAAAGACTTTTATTTAAAAGCCATATTACTATAAGTAATATTTAATATAGGCCAATTATCATAAAGTTAAAATATCACCAATGAATAGAATAAGCTCTAACTGATCCATCACTGATTTTCCAGGTGTTCCTTTTTATAGGATTAAATCGAAAGTGTTACGGAATGATGGACATGCTCTTTGTTTAGTGTAATGGAAGGACTGCCTGTTGTTTTCTGTACTGTTTGCCATTGGGAATCACAAGTCATATTTTCTTATAAGTAAATTTCATGAGACTTCCTGAATAATTCAGTTTCTTTTGCTTTAATAAGTATTATTTGAAATAATTGCCATCAGCTACAATACAAGCATTTTTGGTTATAGATTTTATTTTGTTTTTATTTCAGATTATTTGGTTTACATTGTGATTAACCTTGTAAATTACTGTTTATTCATTTAAAAATATACATAGTACTTTGTGTGGATGATAGAAAGTTAGAGATGATGTGGCAGTCAAGAGGGCATATAATTTATTTTAATTTTTAAAAAAGATTTTATTTAATTATTTGCAGATAAAGGGAGAGAGCACAAGCAGGGGGAGCAGCAGAGGGAGAGGGAGAAGCAGGCTCCCCGCTGAGCAGGGAGCCCGATGTAGGGCTCCATCTTGGGACCCTGGGGTCATGACCTGAACTGAAGGCAGACACTTAACCAACTGAGCCACCCAGGTGCCCCAAGAGGGCATATAATTTAACAGTGAATTTAAATTGACATTGGCGATATTAAGTGGTTGAAGGAGGGGAGTTATCATGCAGAATAAAAATAGTATCTTATATTTGTATACTGCTTAATGCTCTTAAAAGTACTTTTGTATATGAAGGTACTGTTATGGTGAACTTAGATTATGGCTATTCATAAAACCATTCACTCCTGAATCCACACTGCCATTAAATAACTGCAAGTGCTGGGGTGCCTGGGTGGCTCAGTGGGTTAAAGCCTCTGCCTTTGGCTCGGTCATGATCCCAGGGTTCTGGGATCAAGCCCCGCATCAGGCTCTCTGCTCAGCGGGGAGCCTGCTTCCTCCCCTCTCTCTGCCTGCCTCTCTGCCTACTTGTGATCTCTGTCTGTCAAATAAATAAATAAAATCTTAAAAAAAAAACACAAAAAACTGTGAGTGCTGGCTGCTGGCACACTTTTGCTCTGTTGTCCAGGTTTGCTCTTATCTGTTCTAGTTTAAGGATTGAAAATGTGTGAGGAGATGAGTTTCTGTATATTAAGATGTTTCCATTACCTGAAGAAAATCATTCTTAAGAGTTCATGGGTAGTCAGCTACAGAGTGGTAATTTCATGAGTGAGGGGTATGGAGAGAAGGAATTATGTGAGGTTTTGTTCTTCATCCTTTGACTGTGGACGGTACTGCCCCGTGCTTTCCAAGTTAGAGTCTTTTAGAGAGAATTGTATTTGGTGCTTGGGACATTCTCAGTCATCTTCTGATGATACCTTTTGAATGGCTGGCAATACTTGAAACCATTTTGGATCCATATGTGTGTGTCTGTCCCGGAATAAGATTGTGCTGGTGAAGGAAGGTGAGAAAGGACTTGCCTCAGAGACCTAAGTGGGAACAATGAATGTAGACATTGACCTGTGGAAAATACTTGGATATGCGTGTTAACTTCCTCTTTGAACTTTCATAACGTTCAACTCTGATTTCTGAGTTTAGTTGGGAAGGGAGATTGAGAGATTTCAGTAGAACACTACCTGATGTTATTTTTCTTCCAATAATACAGCAAAGATTTGAAAACTTGAAAACTGAAAGAAATGAAACACAGCCATCTAGTGGATGCAACTCGAAGAACCATAGCCATAGTTAAAGTACCAAGAGCTCACATAAAAACCTCTCAAGGGCCGTTATCAGGCATTCAAGCTAATCACTTCTCCTCACACAAAGGAGCCATGTGCATCTGTATTACAAAATATTTAAAAATTTTAATGAGCAGGGAAAACATTATAAATGGCATTTGGACTACAGCATTATGTAAATACCCTCAGAGGTCAATTGAACTAGTCTAACGTTATAGTATGTTTTATACATTTTCAGCCGTAACATGTGTTAACCAGAGCTCTAAAATTGTAAAACTCCCATAACTCTTTTTTAAAAATTTTATTTTAAGTAATCTTTGCATTCAGCCTGGGGCTCAAACTCACGACCCTGAGATCAAGAGTTTGATGCTGTACCAACTGAACCAGCCAGGCGCCCCCAAATTATAAAACTCCAGTCGTGCTTTTTTGAATATGTGTATATTCTGAAACATTGCTGGAATATCTAGATCTCTTTTGCCTATGAGAGCAAGTGTCTATAAGGTCCTTGAACAACATGGGTTTGAACTGTATAAGTCCATGGATTTTTTTCAATGAATATGTAGGAAGGTTTTTTAGAGATTTTAGACAATCTCAAAAAACTTGGAGATGAACTGTGTAGCCTAGAAATACTGAAAAAAATTAAGAAAAAGTTAAGTATTATAAGAATACAATACATAATACATATAAACCTAGAAAATACGGGTTAATTGTGTTATCAGTAAGGCTTCCTATCAACAGTAGGCTATTGGTAGCCAAGTTTTTGGGGAGTCAAAAGTTATATACTCATGTGTATAACTGCTCATGTGTGGGTGTCCCTAATCCTCATATTGTTCAAGAGTTAACTGTATAAATTAACCTATTTTTGTGGTTGAAGCACGGGTTTACTCACTGTCTTCTATGAAATACATTTTTGTCAATGTTGGCTTATAAACTGTATTGATGCAAAAACGAATTACTTTCCAGGAGCAAGATAATGCTGTACAAAATATGCACAAGAAGGTAGAAAAATTAGAAACTGAGCACATGGACTGCTCTGATCTTCTACGGCGACAAACAAGTGAACTTGAATTTAGCACTCAACGAGAAGAACGTCTTAGAAAAGAATTTGAGGTATATTTTTTCATTCTTTTAAAACATACATATGTTGTCCAGTTAGTAATTTAAGGTCAGAAAAAGTTTTACTCTGCTATCAAATATAAAACTTTTTTTTTCAGCATTTATTTGTGTTGAATATCTGGCTGCTTTGAAAACTTTGTATTTGAGTAAATTATATTTTGCCCCTAATTTTTAAAATCTATCCATTTTTAACAGTTAATTCCCATGGAATATTTGGAAAGTTTGAGGGTAATTGTTTGCATGATAAGATTGAGGAAGCAACTCAGGAAAGGATTTTGTACACATAATATTAAATTCTAATATTGTAGATTGGATCATATACTAGCTGCATGGTTTTGTGGAATGCATTTCAGGTGAGACTTTAGATGGGAAAGAAACATCAAGTTACAAATGAAAGTTATGATTTTGATGAGAGAATGATATAATCACCTTAATTTTGAGAGAAATCTATTTGTTAATTCTTTTTAAACTTTCCTTTTGTTTATGGGAAATTATTTCAATAGGTAAAGAAGTTTTGTCTTAGACATAATTTATAATTGTAATTAGGTAAATAAACATTTATAAGGAGAATTCAGTGATGAAATCCAGAGCTAATCCAGTTAAACTCACTGCTGTCATTTAACATTGTTCTGGAAGTTTTAGCCAGAGAAGTATATGATGGCAGAGCAGCAATAAGAAGTACAGTTGTTGGAAAGAAGGAGGCATGACTCTTAACATTTTCAGGTGATGCACTTATACTGTAAATAGTCAAAAAAATCAACTTTAGAATTATTGACACTGGTAAGAACATTCAGTAAGGAGGCCAGGAAGAAAAGAAAAGTAACAATTTTATTTACATTCTTATATTCCAGCAATAGTCAGAGAATAAAACGTGTAAAAAATTTTCTTCACCACCGTGACAAGAATAGGAATATAATTAACTACAGACACATTAAAAAGTTACCAGATTTAACTGAGAGTCTTCAAAGAAAATGGTGAGACATTTTGGAGATACTCAGTACTAAAAAGATATGAATCCTTCCTAGATTATATTATGGGTTAAAATAGTTCCAATAAAAAACTCAGTGGAATTATTTTGGGAATAAAGATTCAGATATTCATGTGAAAGACTAAAGAGCTACTACACAAGAGTCTCTCATACATTTTTAAAAAGATTTTATTTGGGGCACCTAGATGGCTCAGTTGTTCGGTGTCTGCCTTTGGCTCAGGTCATGATCCCAGGGTCCTGGGATGGAGTCCCATGTCGGGCCCCTGCTCAGCGAGAAGCCTGCTTCTCCCTCTCCCACTCCCCCTGCTTGTGTTCTCTCTCTCACTCTCTCTCTGTGTCAAATAAATAAAATCTTAAAAAATATTGTATTTATGTGAGGGAGAGAGAGAGAGCGAGTGTGAGCACCTGAGAAGGGGGAGGGGTGGAGGGAGAGGCAGAGAATCTCAAGCAGAGTCCGCTCTTAGCATGAACTCCAATGTTGGTCTCCATCCCACAACCCTGAGATCATGACCAGAGCTGAAACCAAGAGTTTGATGCTTAACTGACTGAGCTACCGAGGCGTCCCTAAAATATTCTGTTAAGAGAAATGAGTGGAGACTTACTATATCAGAGGTTAATAGCTATTATAAAGCTTTAGTAATATATCAGTGGTGGTTTTTTCCTTGTATGCAACAGAAACCAACTTTGGCTAACTTCAATAGGGAATTCACTGGAGGAATATGGGAATCACATTTGCGATTAGGATGAAAGTTGGGGAATCATGCTCAGAAATGAAACCCAGAGCATCCCCAGACGTCTTGGGAACAGAAATGATGGAGGAAGTTAGGATGAATTGATATCAGTAATTTTCATTTTATTTGTTTACCAGTAACAATTGGTATCATTCTTTTTGTCACTTTAGGATTCAAATCCCAAAGAGAAAATATTCGATTGAAAGAGGTGGTTTGCCCCAAATAAATCTCTCTCAAGTCTGCTAAAATTAAAGCCCCCCCAAAAGAAATTTTTTCTTTTTTTTAATTAATTTTTTATTATTTTATTAACATGTAATATATTATTAGCCCTAGGGGTACAGGTCTTTGAATTGCCAGGTTTACACACTTCACGGCATTCACCATGGCACATACCTTCCCCAGTGTCCATAACCCCACCACCCTCTCCCTCCCCCCCTCCCCCCGCAACCCTCAATTTGTTTTGTGAGATTGAGTCTCTTATAGTTTGTCTCCCTCCTGATCCCATCTTGTTTCATTTATTCTTTTCCTATCCCCAAACCCCACGTTGCCTCTCAACTTCCTCAAATCAGGAAGATCATATGATAATTGTCTTTCTCTGATTTACTTATTTCACTCAGCATAATACCCTCTAGTTCCATCCACATTGTTGCAAATGGCAAGATTTCATTTCAAAAGAAATTTTTATAAAGAAAATTCAGTTTCTGGTACCAAAAGAAGGGGAAAAGAGATTGTTGAGTGGCCAAAAAGTACAGTTACTCTAAGACCAGATTTTCCATGGTACAGATTGAAAGGCCAGTAGTAGACTTGTAGAATATATATAAAATCTAGTATATGAAGATACCACTTTAAATTAATGAGGATAGGAAAGATTATTCCATCATCTTGAAACATGGTTAACTATTTAACTATTTGGTTAACTATTTAACTAAAATAAAATTAGATTCCCAGCTTACATCATATTGTAAAATAAGTTTCAGTTGGATTAAAAAGAGTAAAAATATTAAAAAGCTAATAAAAAAGAAAAAAAAGTGTTTTTTGCTCTCTGAGTCTAGTATGACTTGTTATTAATCATAAAAGCAGAGGAGCAAAATCAACAGATTTATAGCTTTGACTAGGAGAAATTAAAGTCATATATATGTAAATTCTTCACTTCAAATAAAATAAAAAAAAACACATGAGAAAAATATTTACAGCAAAAGGTAGATCTATCTCTGTCTCTACATCTCTTTATCCAAATTCTCTCCACTATTTGGTAAGAAAAAGGAGAAAACCTTTATGAAAAAAAATCTACCAAGGACTTCAAAGAAGATGTGAAAGATGTTCAGATGAATAGCAAACATGAAAAATGCTTGACGTCAGAAAGGCTGTAACAGTCATGATACCAAGACTAAAGAAAAGGTAGCACCCAGTGTCAGTGAGGGAGCTGTTAAAAGTTCCTGGGTCTTGCTGCTGAGAGGGCAGGTGGATAAAGCCTTCCAGGAGCTGTGTTTGGCAAATTTATGTGGTCTTCATCAGAAAATCATCACACCCTTTGAGGCCTCCAGCTCATGGCTCAGCCATCACCTGGGACTTCATTTTCCTCTGTTGGATCTCCTGTTTCCTAGGTCCCTGTGTGTTTTTTACGCCAGTGGCGTATGTAGTCTAGTAGCTGCTAAAGAAAGGGTATATGAGAGCCCAGTTTTAGCTGATCTTGTGTTTCTGAGTGTGATTTTTATGAATAAAGTATTAGAGTAGATATAATTTGGCCAAATATAGAATTTTAGGTTTAAAGTCATTTTCTCTTAATATGTGAAGGCCTTACCTTCCTCATTCCCAGGCTCTTCTGTTGCTGTCGAGAGGCCTAATGTTATTCTGGTTTGTGTTTCTTTGATAGTGATCTTCCTCCCTCATTCTTGTCATCTCTGTAAGTTTTCTTGGTCTTCTGTTCTTTTCAAACTTTTTTTTTTTTTTTTTTTAATGGAAAGCTTTAAACAAACATATTTTAAAAAGTGAACAGAATAGGGACGCCTGGGTGGCTCAGTTGGTTGAGCAGCTGCCTTCGGCTCAGGTCATGATCCCAGCGTCCTGGGATCGAGTCCCGCATCGGGCTCCTTGCTCGGCGGGGAGCCTGCTTCTCCCTCTGCCTCTGCCTGCCACTCTGTCTGCCTGTGCTTGCTCTCTCTCTCTCTCTCTGACAAATAAATAAACAAAAAATCTTAAAAAAAAAAAAAAAGTGAACAGAATAGTATAATGAACCTAATGTATCCATCACCAGCTTCAACAATGATCTATATATGGCCAATATTTTATCATTTATGTCCCCACTCACTTTTCCCACTCCCATATTATAGTGAAATGAATCCCAGTCACAGTATTTTAACTATAAATATTTATTACAATTTAAAAAAAATGAGGGGTCTTTATTTAGAGTCACGTTTTCAATATTAAAACTAAATTAACAGGAACATCACTTAATAAAATCAAATATCCAGGCTTTATTCAAATTTCAGATTGTTCCACAGTTTGATATAAATGGTGTAAATGTGTGTAAATGCAGTTTGAGTCAGAATTCCAGTTGCACATTACAATTGGTTGATATTTTTTTTCTCTCTCTTTTAAAGAAGATTTTATTTATTTATTTGAGAGAGAGAGATTGCGTGCGTGAGTGGGGAGAGGGACAGAGGAGGAGGGAGAGAGAGAAAGAGAGCACACTCCATACTGAGCTCAGAGCCCTACACGGGAGTCGATCTCATGAGCCTGAGATCACGACACCGAGATCACTACTGGAGCTGAAACCAAGAGTCCGTTACTCAAACTACTGAGCCACCCAGGCACTCTGGTTGATATGTCTCTTAAATCTCTTTTAATCTACAAATTCTTTGTCTATAGCTTTCTTTTTTCCTTATATTTGTGAGGACACCAAATTATTTGTGCCATAGAGTTCCCACTGACTCTGCAATTGCAGGACATCAAATATAAATAATGTTTCTTAGTATAGATCTTTTTAAATTCATGGTGACCATTTTAGTTAGGGAATACATGCCCTTTATTTGGAAGAATTCTCTTGTGTTATTCTCTTGTGGAATTTTTTTCCTCAGGGCTTTCGCTGTTCTTTCTCTCTGGCTTTTATTATTCAAGTGTCAGATCAACTGGATCGATGGTTTACTTCTTTTGCTTTTCTGTTGTCTTTCTCTTTGTCTTTTTGTTGTGGCTTCTTGGGACATTTCTTGACTTGACTTTCTAATCTTCTTATTGAATATTTTCCTTTTCATTTTTAATTTCTGAGAGCTCTTGTT